CCATTAATGGCTATCAAATTATGGCCATTCAGTTGTCACTCACCGGAAGGTATTTCTTTGGGAACTCATAACGATATGACGGATCGTTCATCAGTTGTCGGATCAGCTGAAAGAGTGGTCCGTTTTGATGGAGAAATGCATAGATTGTGTCGAACTCTCGGGGGCTATAGTTTCGGGTAATGAGTTTGAGAGACCAGTCGGTGGACATCGCGTGAACACCGATTCCGAAGATGTCCTCAACTAATGAGATGTAATTGTTTTGAATTTCCTGTCAATTCATATCAAATTAGAAATCAATTTCATGTCAATTACAGCCCAAATCTCACCTTAAGATTACTAGTGATCGACTCGTGGATCAGTTGAGACAACTGATGACACTTCGCCACAATCGGCTCTTTAAGACAACTTTCAAATCGCATTTGAAACTGAATTCAAAGCAAATTGAGTGCAAAAAAAGTTAATTTTCAAAATTGATATTAAAATGTGAATCAAATACTGACTGGAATTGAGTTTACGTTTGAATTATTAAACGAATAATTGTTGGAATAATTCATTGCTTTCGAGATATTAATTGCAATTGAAATCGATTTTAAAATCAATTGTTTATTAAAAACAATAAATTAATTGTATTTTCAATTTAAACAACACTTTAAAAGTCAAAAAGCATTTCAAAAACAAACGATTTTTATTTAAATAGTATTAATAAATGATGTCTTCATAACAACCGCATAAACACAACCCCTATTCACACAACACCTCAAAACTCAATGCATTAAACTTTTAGTTAATTATTATTTAATTACGTTATATATGAACAGTAAATAGTAATGTTTTATTATAAGATTTTGTACACATATAAAGTAATATTGAAGAGGGGGAGGGATTGTATAGATGTCAATGTATTGCCAATATAATGGGCAGCATTTGTATGGAAAGTGGGCCATAAAATGCTTGAAAATGAAATATTATATATGAATGATATATATTTTGTAAACAAACTCAAACTTTTTGATTGATTTGAAAGTTATTTGTGATGTGATTGTGGTTTAGATCCCAAGAGTTTTGTCATCAAAATTAACATGAATTCAATGGACACGACTGAAGACAATCACATTTGCATTCGTTGTAAGCAAACAATCAATGGTTTAGACAATTATGTGGAGCACAGGAAGAGTGGTAACTGTGAGCCCATGAGTGCCCACA